TGAATTTTTTCAACGTTTCTTCGTCGTTCTCAAAATGTCTTATGAGTGTTTATGTTAGATATATTTGAGAGAAGCAGCTTGCAGCTCTTCATTAACACGCAAAAAAAGGATCAGACTATGACTCACCACCATCATCGAAGTAAGGATTAGCGAAGCTCCTGTCGACTAAGACGACCAACAGAAGAAACAACCATAGCAACCAGGCCCTCATGCCTCACGACCTGTGCCCGCTCGGCTCACAGTTCGCGCTAACGAAAATTCGGTAGAAGTGAAACGCAAAGTCTCTGCCGCTGCTCCCGCTTGTCCTTCGCTCAGGAAGGAATCTCACCCTTGAATCACCACCGCGTACTGGGGTGCGAGTGAGGGTTTCACCGCGACCGTAGCGCTTATATAGACGCGGGAGGCGTGGCGATGCGCCCCCACGAGGACATATAGAAACGGAGCTTGGACTTCTGGATCGGACGAAAAGTTCTATACCACGCAAGCTCTAACATACATTGTTTGATCGTGTGTTGTAGAAACATCCCCTTCAAGCGGACAAAGGAATAGAATCATTTTCGGCTACTGTTTGCTCACACTTTCGACAAACTTATACCCTCGGATAAGAGAGAGAGCAACTAGTTGCAAAGCAACTAGTAGATTCTAGACATTTTTCTCCTCCTTCTTTTTCTTCTCTCTCTCTTTCTTTCTCTTAATTTGTTAAACATAAAAACTAAGAAATTATAAATTAAATATTATGTTAGAAAGACATGCTAGACATTTATTACAAAGTAAAATCACCGATATTGACAGATCTTCTAGGAACATCCCCTTATTTCTCGGAAACTGTTGTGTACTTTATTAATACCTACTGATCAAAACATGATCTATTTAGATAATTAAAGAAGTAAAAACTCATAGTTTTGGTATTCAAAAACATATATTTGTTTCTACAAAATCAACTAAAAACGAATTCTATAAATGCGAAAATAAAATTCTTACAATTTTTTTTTGTAAACTTGCGTAATTTAAATAATAATGACTGTATTATTGATAATATTGTATTGTTTTATATGTTCCTGTCGTAGTTTATAAATCAATTTTTTTTTCTTTCTTATTTTTCCATAATACAGTTTTAAATATAAAATCATAATACACACACTACGTAAATCAGCACACCTGTCTGTAAGACAGACCATAAGCTAACTTAATAGTGCCGCAGGGTTTATCGCCGTATGTCGTGATCCAATGTTAACGTTTCGTGAACCTTGCCGTTTACTTCATCAACGTGAGGAGCACACTACTCTTTGGCACCTCTGAAGAAAATACCCGTGGAAGCCTTCAAAGTATTATTAAGCTAACTAAATCTTTATAATATTACATTATAGTGTCCTATCTGATGTGAAGGCAATCGTGTATAATTTATGAGAAAATTCTTAAAAGGAGACATTTCGCATTACATGTTTGCATCTCGCAGAACAGCAGAAAAGGCTGTGTTCAGATTTCCACCTGAATGCCACTCAGGTATCATTTGATCCTTATTGTTCACCGAATGTTAAACAAAGCTAATATGATATCTGGGGAGTACTTGGGTAGAAATCTGAACGTATCCAAGTATGCATATAAAAAAATCAAAAAAATTTTATAGTGGAAATTCTAGGAAATATTGTACATATTCACTTGTAAATATTTTGTATAAACGGATCCTGTGAAAAAAAGCTAGAAAAAGTGAAATTATTGCTTATTATGTCAGTTTTGGAGTTCATTTTGCCAAATGCTTTTGCTTATTTTAAATATAACATAAAATAATATAAAATTGAGTAATAAATTCGTCTCTCTTACAGTAAATTTTTCTATTATAATCAGAATTACAAATATTATAGTTAAAAATTTAAAACACAAACTTTATGACTATTTACAAACTTATCACAATATAACGGCTTATAGTCCCACCAGATAAAGAAATAAATATAGATCAATAGACTTCTCGTATAACAAAGGAGTAATTAATTCAATCTGCTCGTCCTTGATATACAATTTTATAAATCACTGTAATTTGTTCATTCATTAAATTTGGCGCTGAATAGAAATTTAATAAAATTTGTTTACTAGACATAACCCGTCTTGTTTGCTTGAGTTTCCGACAGAGATAATTGTGGAAATCAACGAACATTATTCGCAACTCAAATTAAATATATCTATTTAAAGCTGAGAGTTGTACTGAGTGTAAAAGAATTATGTGCTGCGCAGTCTTTCTCGTTCAAATAGAATTTTAAAAAGATGTAATATTTTGCACAGTTTTAATATAAAGATATATATATATATATCTTTATGTATCTTTTTAAATAATTCAAATCTTTATGTACCTTATTAAATAATTTAAAAATTAAAATTTTACTAAAATCGATATTATTACGATGTAAATAAAAATCAAATATTAATTGTCCATCTATTTTCTAAAATTTGATTCGGAAAAGTTTTTGGATAATTTAGCAATTAATAATAAAATATTAACAGTATTTATGACTTGTTCTTACAGATCGAATAATTAATAAATATTAATGAAAAGAGAAAAAATGAAAGCTATCTAAATATAATTTATTAAATTATATGTAAATCAAGAAAATATTATACATGCACACGCGCGCGCGCACACACACATTATATACTTTTTATTAAAAAAAAAGATATTTAATTTTATAAATAATACATATATATAATATAAATTTATTCATATACATTCATATTTTCGCGTGTTTATTTCGTTTACATTTTATCAAATAAGTATGTAAATTATAAGAGAGAAGAAAAGAAGAGAGAGTCCTATATTTCTAGTTTTTTCTTTTATAAAAGTTAAACTCGTACTTCAATGCTTCTAATTTCATTCATATCTCTATGTTTTCTTGCAAGATTGCAAGAATATGATGCACTTTTCTTTTATGCATACAACATTGATGCAATTTTAGTAAAAAATTCATTGTCAAATATTCACTTTTCTCATTATAAGTTTCTGAATTTCAGAAAGTTCACGACACAAGAGTTACACAATGGCGAAGTTGTCGCTTAAACCACGTACGGGAAGTACAATGAAACAGTTGCTTTCGACAATATCCATTATTCAGAACACGTGACTTTGATCACGTAACCATAAACGCCTTTGCGTCAATGGGAACTTGCAACGTTTACTTAAGAACAATTCAATTTCAGCCGACTACAAGTGTTGAAAAGTTATGAGAGAACACGCCTTGAGGTATTTACACACATATATATA